TGAATAAAGTGAAGATGCATGAACAATACAACTTTGATTCTTATGAACTGTGATGAAACGGATAGCTGAACTGCTAGGCAAAGGCTAGGAAATTGAGTCCTTTTGAGTGGGTTCATAGCATGCACAGCTCAATACATAATATTTTTTACGATCTTTTAAATTTTATATTGGTTATATTTTATTAATATTTTTGCCTTTCTAATGCTTGGATGAATACAAGGGTTGCTAGGTGGTCAATTCGCTTTTCTCTAGACCCTGAAAATATGATGGTTTGAATGGGGAAAAGGGACTACTGTCTCGGGTCCTACATGTCTTCGTTGCACACCGCCCAATTATTGTGCGACACACGTGCAACAGAGGATTGGTGATGTGTGCCGCTTGATGGGCACGGGAGTTTTGTCGCCGGGACACGAGAATAGAATCCGGACACGTTAGCATGCCTCGAACGACGCTCGGAATCGGACGTTTCGAAATTACGAATTGATCGGCGATACAATGGCTTGAGTTAATAGGTTTTAACTCTTTTTTTTGAAGCGATCGGCTCTTTTCTCGAGATGAACTTACGTACTATTTTAACGATAATAAAAGATGATATAAGTTATCTGTGATACTCTTAAATGAAATGGGCAAGTGACTGACCTATAAACACTAAATACAATTCATCCTAAGAGCATCTAGGGCACCCATCATCATATCATATGTTATGTTTGCTTAATGGCAAACAATTCATGTAGTGCTACATGCAATAATTGGTATGCACTCCAAGGGAACCGTGAGCTTTTTCCTAGGGAATGCACGATTGATTCGTGATCACTTGCTAGCAAAATCACAAACCTTCCTTTATCACGTGGAATTGCTCTCTTTGTGGAGGACATGAAACTAGGCTTTGGGGGCAAAAAGCTTTCCTTCTTTTTGAAGACCTTTTTGACCTACATATCGAGATGAATTGGCTTTCATGGCTACGAAAGTGGCTAAGGGCTAATTCAATTTTATAAGCATGGTTGTTGGCCATGGTTGTGGATCGGGTAGCATGTGGCTTATTATACTTAGATTTTCTCAATGGTAGATTAGTGTGCTTTAGTAGCCTTGTTTGATGATTATATATATATATGCTTATGACCAATCACAACAGATGTCTCCTAATTCTTGGTGTTAACTTGTTTGAAACTTTTTAAGCATGGAGAAAGGATATTAGAGGACATTTGATTAGATAAACGCCTCTAGATTTACCACTAAGCATGATAGTTTGAAGTGGTAAAATGGATGTAGTCTTCCATGAGGTTGTAACTTCGAGTCATGTTGTGGGTGAACCTTTGGCTTATTTGTGCTTTGGGCATTTTACTCTACCTCATGTAGAGAGACTTTTCGAGTTTTAACACACTCCTAATGCTACGGTGATGGACTCGTCAACCTTGGACCCTTCGAATTTCGAATAGATTGAGTAGGAATATAGTTCAAATTGAGTAGTCCGAAACTAGTGCAAAACTCTTATGGTAACATCCAGAGGTTAGCTGTGTTGATTGCTCCTTTCCACTCTTTCACTCGTGAATGCAAAAAAAGTAAGATTGAGAGTGAGAAAACTTGAATAAGAAAAGATGCACAACATACATCCCGAATGGTCCTCGAGCATGCGGAGCACAACAGAGATGAGTAGGGATCCTATTAGGCGCACTTGAGAGAACGTTATATAGTGAAAACAGAATCTTTATTAGATACTTGGGAAAAAAGTGAGTTAACATGATCTGATTAAATCATACCCCTTTTTTCTTAAAACATTTCGAGTGATAATAAATCTAATTAGGTAGGCTAATTAGTCGAGACTTTGGCAACACAGCTAGGGCTCACTCTTATGTTTTTCCTATAATGAGTTAGTTTTGTTGTATGTGCAATTATCTCTTAGTCATATTTTGACGAGGATAGCCGTTGGCATTCTGTCCGGAGAAAGAGACCATCGATGGAGGCAAGTTGAGAATCGTTGGTGTAGAAGGACACTTGATTCTAGATTAAAGGGGAGTTGGACTAACATAGTAATCTCACAAGTGAAGAAGTGATTTGTTCGGTACATGCGTTGCCCGTCCCTACAAAATTTAAGTTCTAACTATAAGATTAGCTAAAAGTCAAAGATACTGTCAAAAGAAGTAATCTTCAGCATCTTGCATGAAAACTCTCGTAGAAGTACTCATGCAAAAGCAGCTCACATGATCTAGGATCATTTCATAAGAGAAAAGGACACGAGTATTCCAGAAGCAGAGTACGAGTTTGACAGCACTAGATTTATTTATTTATGAGCAAATTGAAGTACACTAGATTTAAAATATTTTCAGACAGTTAATGAAGTGATAATAAATAATCCAAATATACCTCAAAGGTCAAGCACACTCGAGACTAGTAGAAAACGTAAGGCATAAGTCATTTTTGACAAATAATAGTTGGAACCATGTTCGGCTCTTGCTGTGATTGCACGTATCTGGACCAAATCTATCTAATTTCTCAAGCATAAAGTTAACTTAGGCTTGTTAAGTAATGCAAAGGAATTTAAAGAAAAATAACAATAATTGCACCCATCCAAGAGAGCTCACAATCCCATTTGACTGGAGATAAAACATTACATTATTAAGCATACGTGCACACTACAACTTACATGTGGCCATGCTTAACTCGATTGGTGTGTGTAGTCCGCTTCTTTAATAACTTCCCATTTTTCTAATTTTTGGTTGAAACTTGAAACGTTTTTTTATAATCTTTGAATTTTGTTTAAGGATGAATTGCTGAATATATCTTCGTACTGTGGAAGCTTGCTCATTTGTGTTCCTACCGTATAAATAAAAAAGAGGCCCATATTTTATTTAGCTTTCAGATTGTCGCATTGAGATGCAATACATGGAAGATCGAGGGACACATCTTTTGTGCATAATTAAATGTTCAATAAATTGCAAATTTGTTACTAAATTCAATGCATGAAGTCAACTTTTCGAATCTTGTCCAAAATATAGTGGCAATTCCATCTTCAAAATGTCCATGTTTGCACGTTGTTACTGACACAGTTGCTTGAGTGTTGAAGGAATTTAAAGTATTGGACCTTTGTATTCGAGCCCCCTGAATTATTTTTAAAAAAAAAGCATAATATTTCTAATACTTTTCATGCGAAGGAGACGATTCTTGTGGTTCCGTGAGCCTAATAATGTTATGTGCTTCAATGTATTAAGGTTTTTGTTTTTGAAAGTGAAATGCCTATGTGATTGATTTACTAACTCAAGCTTTCAAGTTAAGCCTTCTCCAATGTAGAAGAGCAAAATTGTAGGCGTATGTGATTACCTTCTTCACCTAATTTGCTCGTGAAACCTTAAATAGACGTTAAAATTATCTCATACCAGTGTTTTTATGAGATTATAGATAGACTTAATACGCATCGTATCGATCTTATCCTCTTATATCTTATCTTTTATACCAATTTTTAAAATAATAAAATTCACAACTAATGTATCTGCTCCAACAGAATCTTCAAAGAGTTTCATCTAGACAAAATCTCGGTTCATTGTTGAAGCTTTAGGTAACGTAAAAGATGACTATTGGCAAGTCCACAAGTTCTTAAGAAGATGGACACACCTCTTCAACTTCAACCACATAATAAAACGAATTTATCATTGAGAAGCCTTTAAGCTTAATAGGCTTAATAGAGTGTGTGTGTCTATATATATAGTCTAAAGTCACTATATGTTGTTGAAAATGCGACAAATAGAATCATAAACATCTCGAGAAGATAAAACAAGGGGTAGATTTAATGAAGCATCCTTTTCCTGTCTAATGTACAATTATTATGAGCGCTCGGCACTTGCACTTTCAGCAGTTTCAGCTCATGTGCCAAGATTAACACAGCTTCCCATCAGATGACTTCCATCTGACCACTTTTGACTATGACTAAACAATTTAGCTCGTTAAACGAAGCAAGGTCTCTACATATGTCATTGATGACCTAAGTTGAGGACAATACAATAAGTTCTTGGATTGACCGTGCATGAATTTCCCACTTGTCCTGTGGGGGAAAATGGATCTTTAACGGCGGTGATCGGTTCCTAAACGGGTCGATAACCAACCTAGTATTGGAAACGGAACCGGCCAATGTAGGACCTGATCGATCTGTCTTATGAATCGAGATATTCCCAAACCTATCTAGAAATTTGAAAATGTTCTTCTTTTCTGTTTGTAAAAATAAAATGATTTATCAGGCATACAGTTCTGATCTTTTAAATACAAGAACTTTCCCATATTCAAAGCTTTATGGATAGATTTTTGGGATAATGACACAAACAGTTCCTGAACTTTGGCCTAATGTGCAATTTGATCCCTGAACTTTTAATTTGTTCAATGTGGTCCATGAACTTTTATTTTGTTCAATGTCATCCCTGAATTTTTGATACATGATCAATTCAGTCCCTGAACTATATGAAAATGTTCAATGTAGTCATTTCCATTAATTCAAGTTTAAGAACTACATTGAATATTTTTATATAGTTCAGGGACTGAATTGAACATGTACCAAAAGTTTCGGGTTGACATTGAACAAACTAAAAGTTCAGGGACCACATTGCACATTAGGTTAAAGTTCATGGATTACATTGAACAAATTAAAAGTTCATGGACCAAATTGTACATTGGGCCAAAGTTCAGGGATTGTTTGTGTCATTTTGCCTAGATTTTCATACTGGAGTCCATGATTATAAAGCCGGTTCGCTCAAAGAATCGTACCGGTTTGGCCCATTCTCGGGTTGAATTAGGGCCAAACCGATTCTTCTTGAAATCTAAGGCTACGAATGACAACTATTCTGTTTTACAAATCAATTTCTAGCCAGAAATATTTCTGTTTCTGCTCTTGAACGAGTTTTTGAGCAAAAAAACACGTTTGATAACGACATAAAATTTATGTTCCCGAAACAAAAATTTGTTTGATAATGGCATAAAATTTCTCCCTCTTGGATGATCAGCGAGCGGATGGTGGGTGGATGGCGGCGGCGGACGGTGGGCGACGGATGGTGGCAGCGAACGGCGGACGGCAGACGACGGGGGGAAGTGGCGGTGGACGGCGATGCGGCCAGTGCGGAGAATGGCGGCTGGCATCGGGCAGCGACGGGCGGCGAGAGGGGGGCGGCGGCGGGAGGAGGGCAAACAATGGCAGCAAATGGCGGGCAGCGGACAGTGAGGGGAGGCGGTGGCGGACGACAACGTGGCCAGTGCGGAGGATGACGACCGACGTTGGGCAGCGGCAGGAGGTGGGTGGCGGCGGGAGGAGGATGGCCGGCGGCAGGAAACGGTGGCCGGCGGACAGCAGCCGTCGGCAGGAGAAGGCAAACGGCGAGAGGCGGAAAGGGGGCGGGAGGGGAGTGACGACAAGCGGCGGGAGGTGGGTGGTGGCAAGAGGAGGGCAGCCAGCAATGGGAGAAGGTGGTCGGCGGATAGCGGCCCACGGCGGCTGTCGGCAAGAGAAGACGAATGGCGGGAGACGGCAGCCGGCAAGTGGGCAGTGATGGGCAGTAGGTGGGCGACCGGCTAGTGGCTAGGGCAAGCGATAAAAAGATTTCTATTCCAAACTTGTTTCTGGAACACAAAAATAGAAACATAATAGTTATCATTCGCAGCCTAAGTGGCCTAGCTAGTTTCTACTAATTTGGACCGAATTAGCCTAGTTGTATTGTATGCCCCGAATAATCGGGTGAAATCAGCCTAATTCTTTATACCATCTTTAACGCGTCATGCGTGGCACTGGCATCTTAGAAAAATAATAAATATACTAAGATTGTTTTGTAAGTTAATGTAGAGATCGACGAATGGGCGATTTGTAAGACAATTAAAGAAGCGAGTCATGTCAACTTCCAATGAATATACGTCACAGCATTTTTCTTGACCCATTTCCAACATCAATTTCGGTGCACTAAGCATTACTTTCCGCATAAACACGATCTATAAAGCAGAAAAAGTAAAAAGAAGGAAGCTATAGCTAGCCCTTGATCATAAAGATTAGCCTCAAGATATTGTAACAGGTTGATGGATTTGCCTGCGAGCTAGTTTCATGTGGATCGCATTTCATTACCCTAAGAAAGTGATTTTATGCTCTCGTAATTGCCCTAATTGCTCTCGTTAAGGCATGTTAAAGTATTCCTTTTTTTTGCTAAAAAGCTAGCAATTGAAGATATCTCGATCTCTCCCTCTTCCTTTACCGTGGTTGTTGATTTTTGCTCGCAAAATCATTGTGTAGAAGAGAAAATCCCTTATGTGATTGCATGTCAGCTGCAATAATATAAGAGAAAAAGAACGACAATGATAGATTGCGGAAGGACCAATGACACAACTTAGCTTAAGGTCCTAATCCTTTCGAAATATTATTCAATTATCTGCTCTAGCAAACACAATAATTTTCTTATTTAACTGAGTAAGCATGCTGCGTCTGAAAATGACCCTACTAGTTTGACTGTATGTGCCCATTTTAAATTAGGTTAGCATGGACCATCTTATCGCTTTGGATTTCGGTCATTGTAAAAGAAATGGAGATTTTGACATTTGAGGGATCGAGTTTCATACTAATCTGTCTTTGATGGATTTTGATTGTTAACATGGAAAACACTTGGGGTACGTTTTGCTTTTGTTATTTGTTCACAACTCTAGCTAACTCAAAGCGAAATCAACACATAAAATTATCCTCTCGAGCTTGATCTACCATGTTCAACTCGATAAAAGAACTTAACATGCTCGACTTTGGTCAAGTATATCCGAAAACCGTAGTTTGTATAACTTGTATTAGCTCAAGCTGCACTCGAACTCGAACTTCAATGATTCAAATGCAATAGAGTAAAAAGAGCTGATATGTTATCCATGTTTTGATGTGAATGGACACATTAACATACATATGAGAATGTATAAAAAGTCAAATACATGAAATCGAGGTCTTCATATAATTAAGATTTTCCATTGGGTGCCCCAGTTTGCATAGCTTTGCAAAATTGCCTTTTGGCAATGCATGTGGCCAACTTACACTTGGGCCGAGCCCAGAGACAACAACTCAGGTCCATAGAAAAAAAAGCTGTTAATTGGATAAGGCCTTGAAAAATTTGTGGGTACTCTTACACTTCACGCTATATTCAGCTTTGTTTTATTTTTTTATATAGCGGGTGGGGTCCAGATTTGCTATGATGCTCCTCGACTGATCCAGCTTCTAGAGTGATCTTTAGGGAAAACAACAAGAAGTTAAAAAAAAAGGTGAAGAAAGCAAAACGAAAACAATAATAGGTTTCGATCGTAACGAAATAACATATTAAAATGACCCTTATTATTTTAATTGAAAGAAAGTAGACGATGCAAAATCAAGAGAAATTGTGCAATTTGAATTTATTTCCGGTTATTGCCAATATTAGGATGAAATATGACTTTCTTTTATATCTCTTTGAGCACCCGGCTAATCCTCGCTATTGTCCTTTCTAAGTGTGGCTCAAGAGAGTGGGGAAATGTAAAGATCTGAACACAAGTTTTGAATGAGATGCCAATGCAAAACCTTAAACTGATAGGTGAAGAGAGATCGCACGTATATAAATAACATATAAACTCCATTGTCAAGCGATGTGTAATTTCAACGAGAGGGATGAATGCGTTTGTCGCTTGAGCAACCCCTCATGTTATTAGGATGAAATGAATACGTGAGCTCATTAGGCAAACCCTAAAAAGGTTGCCTCTCATTTCCTTCGACAAAAGAAGTTCCTCTTCACTCGATTCCAACTTAGACCATTCAAACGAGGGGAGTATTTCTCTAAACTTAACGTAAGGAAACATTGGTAAGGGCCGAAGTTAAAAGATTATTCGACATTAATGTTAATGTTAGGTAAGATAAATTTACTTCCTTCGAGTTCCAACAGACAATTTCATTTGTACTTATGAAATTGGGAGATCAATGCCTCCTCCAAGTCCCTTGGATCCGTCCATTCACGTGTGATCTTAATTTGACTCCATTGTGATTGTGAGATAGTGATGTTAAATTATAAGACTCATTTAAAGTCTCACCTACCCTAGTCTTCTTCATCTTTATTTGTGCCTCGCATAACGTGTTACTACAGTTCTTATGTTATCCGTGCCTCTCGGCTAAGGTTTACTTATTAATAATAACATGAATATATACATTATTATCTCATAATAACAATACAAATCTATTGTCCATGACCATGATTTAAACTCATAATCTCATTCTTACTAATTTTTTTTTTTTTGCATTGTTAAGTGTGGCTTCACTTTGGATTCACATGGTTCCATCCTTTATTTATCTTCTCCTCAACACCCATTTCTATAACTCTAAACCCTAAATTAGATGCTCCAATGTAGAAGCCAAAAAAGGGAAAAGAAAATTGTGACCGATGAAGAGTTAATCCATGGACCCCACGGTCAAAAAGGCCCCACTAATCCCTTAAGTCGATCAAAGCAAGATTTCCCTAATGGCGGCTCACAAGCGGCCACGTGCCCCTTAATTTTCAATTATGCACTTAAAAAGCGAAAAAGAGGAAAAGGAGATTTGGGAGGGAAAAAAAATAAATTATAAATAATTAGGGTGATAGAAATTTCCGAACAAAAGGCAAAAAAGCCAGAAAAGGGAAAGGAAGAAAAAAAGAAAAAGAAAAAGAAAAGCAGACAGGGGCCATAGCGCACAATTGACGAGCGCAACGGTCGAGTGAAACGTGACGTGGCGTCGCTCTGCCTCGGCACGGGGGGACAGGCACGTGACCCCCGCGTGCGCCCCCCGTGACCCCGGTTCCGTACACCAACTCCTCTCCCCTCCACCCCGCAACGGTAACATTCCACCGACCACCCCCAACGGTCACTTGGACTCTCGGCCTCCGCCGTCGGATCGGGGATCCAACGGCCAGAAGGCGAGGTTCCCTCCACTTTGCGGGAGGTGCGGGGGCGAAGCGACTTTTCTCGAACGCCATGCTGTGCTGCGCCCCTCTTTTCTTCCCCCTCCCCAACCCCCCGCAGAGAGAGAGAGAGAGCATTGCATCACCCATCACCAGCACCATCATTAACCACTTTTTCAATGCCTTGGGTAAATCAAATCAACACAAACCCATGAGTGAAAAACACGCAATAATCACAGACGCACCCCCACACACCCCCACACACACCCACACCCGGCAGCAGCATTAACTCGCTAGCACCACCTTCCAGGCACTACAGCAGCCCCCCCCCCCCCATCACATATGTTTCCTCCTCCCAGTATATAAAAGCACAGGCCTCTCATGGTTTCTGGTTCTTTTGGGTAGTGTGAGTGTTGAGGGAGGTGCACTTGCTGCTGTGAATGTGCCATGTCCATGCATGTTTCGGGAGTCGTTGCTGGTTCTTCGGGGGCTTCTGGGTCTCGCGTTTGATTCGGAGTGCCTGTCTCTGCTGCTGGCATGGACGTCGTTTCTTGTCCAAATGCTGAGATGGGTCGAGCGTTGATGGAGGTTTTCGGCTTCGGGTTCGAGAAAGTTTTCGCCTTTAGCTCAGTTCGTATGTGGGGATTGAATCTTGAGGGAGAATCACAGCTTTTGCCAATGAGCTCTTCTTGAAATCTGCGGAATCCGATGACATTTTTCTGGTAGGTTTTCTTGTTAGTTCACAATTCTTTCATTCTTTTTATTCCTTTTGGGGAGTGGTGTGAATTCTTTGGGGGTGTGCATTGGCTTTTTGAGTTGTGGCAAATTCTTTGTGTTGGTATAGGAGCACTCAATACTCAAATACACAATTTTCTTTCACCTTGTTCACTCATCGGATTCCTATTTCTTGTGCTGTTTCACACACGTTCACATAGTCACACAGACCAATACACCAGCAAAGTTTATGTGAAAATTCATAGCTGACCAAAAAAAAAAACAAAAAAAAAAACGAAAGAAGCAACGTTCAGAATCTTGTTAGAAACAGAGAGAGATAGGAGTAGAAAGGGTAAAAAGAAGACAGGTGGGTGGATTGAAGCTGAAGATCACAGAAATATTGGAAGGTGATAGAGGATGTTGGCTGGGTGCTCGAGTTCTACCTTGTTGTCACCGAGGCATCGATTGAGGAGTGAGTCATCTGCAGTCGCACAGTTCCAAGCTTGCCATTTCCAGTTGCCTTCAATGAGCACCCAGAGATTGGACTTGCCATGTAGTTTCTCCAGGAAAGAGAACTCAAGACCTCAGTCCCTCAGGCCAGTATCTCTTTCTGTGGAGAAATCATCCATTGAAGCAACCACCACCACTTGTTCTCTCAAGCAGCACATCAGGCTGCCTCCATTGGCAACCACTTCTCAGGGATCAATTGAAGCTAGGAGAGAGGTCAAAGGAGAGTTCTGGGAGAGAGGGAAGAGCTTGAAGAGGTTCGCGGATCGCAGTTCTGTCGATGAGTCCTGTGTCAGCAGGGCTAAGAGGAAAAGGCATGGCAATGTGAATGAGAAACCTGATTTTGTTGGTGAAGGGGGTGAGAACCTGAGCTTAGGCCAATTGAGCGGAGGCAGCTTCTGGTTCCAGCCAAGTTT